TTTTTTTTTTTCGTGAGGAATTTAGAGAGTAACGTTTCTTAATGTAAATTTTGAGAAGTGTAAGAATAAGTTCTATTTTCCTTACTTAGTTTTATCATTCTATCGTTAATTAATTTTTATTTCGTTTTTTCTTTTTTCATGAGAAATTTAGAGAGTAACATTTTTTGAAGTAAATTTTGAGAAGTGTAAAAATAAATAGTTCTGTTTTCCTAACTTATTTTTATCATTTTATCGTTAATTATCTTCGTTTTTTTTTTTCGTGAGGAATTTAAAGAGTAACGTTTCTTGAAATAAATTTTGAGAAGTGTAAAAATAAGTAGTTCTGTTTTCCTAACTTATTTTTATCATTTTATCGTTTTACTTCGTTTTTTTTTTTTTTGTGTGAGGAATTTAAAGACTTCTTGAAGTTAAAATTTTGAGAAGTGTAAAAATAAGTAGTTCTATTTTCATAATTTATTTTTATTCTATCGATAATTAATTTTTCCGTGATTTAGAGAGTAACATTTTTTGAAGTAAATTTTGAGAAGTATAAGAATAAGTAATTCAGTTTTCATAATTTATTTTTGTCATTCCATCGATAATTAATTTTTACTTCGTTTTTTTTCGCGAGGAACTTATTTAGAGAGTAACACTTCTTGAATTAAGTTTTGAAAAGTGTATAAATTGTGAGTAATTCTAGATATTGGTATAATTTATTAAGAACAGATTTTAAATTGAATTTTCCGTCATTTTAGAGATTCGAAGCGTTCCAACCCGGCCACTTGACATCCGTGCACAATTCTACGCAAAGTTTAACACGGAACAAGCGAAAACGGATCCAGCCCTTAGGGGCGCGAAATCTACGAGAACGAGCCAACCATAGTTGAATCAACGCCCATCCCTTTCTCGTTTTCCCACCATTTTCTCGCGCCAGGATCAACCGCAGTTCACCGTGACATCGCTGTGACCATTTAATGTTCATTATTGTAACGAGTGATCGTTCCGTTCCGTTTCGTTTCGTTTCGTTGATAAATGATCTCGTTGCGGTTTATATTCCTGCCCTCCTTCCACATTTTGCCAAATGAATTCTACGCGAAAATATGCGCCATTGCCGGTTCGTTGTCGTTCCACCCTTCTTTTTCTCCCCCCTCGCCCCGTTAATCGCGCGGGTTTCATTTTGTTCGGCCGTTGTTGGACGGATGGGGCACGTAGTAGTTTTTTAACATTTAGTAGCCTTGAATTTTAATTCCCGGTTATTTCACGGTGGCGCTCCCGTTATTTGTTTTTCCCCCTTTTTTTTTTTTTCCTTCTGTTTTCCATCACCCTTCGTTTCGCGCGACGATGGTATTGTTACGGTCGTGTTGACGATACGCGGGGGTGATTCTGATTTGAACGTAATGCGGAAGAAATTGAAGGAATTGAAATATATTGCGGATTGCGAAATCGTTGCTGCCCTCGAAATTCAAATTCTTTCTTTCCTCTAATCTTTTCCCGAAATTCTTTCGAGATTCAATTAGTGATGTTACTTTTGTATATCTCAATGCGAAGGAAATTTTATTAATTCCTTTTAAAAATTGAAGAAAGATAATTCGAAATTCGAATGTTCCAATATTCAAAAAGGAAAAATGCAATACTCATCAATTGCATAAAAAAAAAATTCAAATTCTTTCTTCCCTTTAATTGTTTCACTAATCACCTCTGATCCTACTTTTGTACATCTCAATACGAAGAAAATTTTATTAATTCCCTTCAAAAATTGAAGAAAGATAATTCAAAATTCCAATATTCAAAAAGAAAAAATGCAATGCTCATCAATTGCATAAAAAAAAAATTCAAATTCTTTCTTCCCTTTAATCTTTCCCCGAAATTCTTTCGATATTCAATTGCCTCCGATCAGTGATCCTACTTCTGTACATCTCAATGCGAAAGAAACTTTATTAATTCCCCTCAAAAATTGAAGAAAGCATGTTAAACAATTGAAAATTCCAACATTCAAAAAGAAAAAGTACCAATGCAATGCTCGTCAGTTGCATCAAAAAAAAAAAAAAGTTTTTGAATATCAATGATATATATATAACTCACAAAATTCCATAGAACTATTTACCTGCTTCCAATTCGTTCAAGGACAAGATCCAATCCGTAGAAAAATCCAGATCGAAGATCGATTCGATTCGAGGCATGGAATGGCGTCCACCTTGAAAGGGATGGAGGGAGGGAGTGGATGAAATCGTTTGGTGGATTTCGCAATCGTGGGAGAGGGACTCGTTTCGCAAACTCGAGTCGAGCCCCAATAATTCAGAGGCAAATTCTATGGTGGTTCTATGGAACCAACTGGTGGCAGGACAAAGGCCAGCCTTGCGGCGTGGACAAAAGGGTGACCAGGATTGACCCTGGCGAAACTTCTCTGTCTCCTGGTCCTCTTCCCTGTGCACCTTGCATTCCCCTGTCCTTTCTCGCTCTCCCATTCTTCTCTTCCCGTGCAACTGCATGCATCCCTGTCCACTTGGGGAACCAGGGGATGAATGAATGCGTGCAGCTGCGGTTGAATTAAAAAATGAACGATGGGTGAGGGAACTGTAAGGGTTGAGAGCGGTGAATAAAGATTCTTGAACGAAAGAGCTCGAAAATAGGGAAGGGGAGGGATTGGATTTTTTATTTTTTTATTTATTTATTTATTTATTTATTTTTTTGTTTAAGAATGATTCAATATAGAATATTAGAATAAGAATGATTCGATATAAAATTGTTTCCATTCACAGAGATAATTACGAGATAATTACAATTCCACTTGGCAAAATTTGCCTATTTTATCGGAAGACGGTGAGAGAAACAAGGTGAGAGAGCAAAATGGCGGTGTACAGAGGCGCTATATTTAAAACCGCACGCAAATTAATGCCTACCAGTTGGCAAGCAATAAAGTGCGGCTTAAGCGAGTTTAGGAAGCTTGTAACCGTGTTCTAACCTATTCACCCTAATTATGGATTCCGTTCCATTGCCTTTTACCTTCCTTTTTTAATCGTTTAACCTCCTACTTCCCTTCAGCTTCGTTTAATTAATATTCCTTCTCCGGTCATGTCGATTCCTTCCCTCCCTCCCTCCCTCTCTCTCTTTCAAAGAGGAAAATTACATTTCCATTACTTTATTTTCAACACTCTCCTTCTTACTTTTTCTTAGAAAATTCGAAGGGAATAAAGATTTGAATGTTTCTTAGCTACCTATTTGTATTTAAAAATTAACAGGAATGATTGTATTGTTTTTTTAAAATTATAAAATACGTAAAATAAATTGTAATAAGATTCAAGTTCATTTAAACATTTTGTTATGATATATTTTGTATCTATAATTCCCTTGAATCGAAGTTCTCGTTAACATTGTTCCTGCAAATTTATTTGGAAATATATATATATTGCGAGTTGGTGATTCCCTAGTGAATTTTTCTTCAGAGAAAACAATCTTCTTCCTCCTCTTCTTATGCAAATTTACAGAAAAATTTCTGGAAAAATATTTCGCGCGTAACAAACACGATCTTGGTGATATAAAATAAAGCGAAGAGCAGATACAAGTTCGTAAATTACGATTAATCGATTCTGCGGCGAGATTATCGCGATAATTGGACAATGATCGAGCGGTGATTCAGTGGAGCGAAACGTTGCCATTTTTCCTAGCGCAGTC